TATTCCTCCTCCTCCTACTACTACTACTACTACCACTACTACCTTCTACTGCTGCAACAATAACAACAAGAACTACTACTATGACGCGACGACTATTGCTACCACTACGACAACTACTACCCCTACTACAACGACGACAACGACTATTACTTCTTTTTGTTCTGCATTGACAACAATCAAATTACGCCAGCCCATCCATAGAGTCTGTGCTTTGCCAAGCTGCCACTGTACAGTAGAACTCCCGCATGGCCCTTGGGCATCTGAGCTTGTCTGCCAAACCCTAAAACTTTGTACTTGTAAGCTTGTCAAACAAAACAAGCTTACGTTCATCAGCTTGAAGATCAAAAAACTCCCCTCGGAACTCTTGAAAGGTGGTCCAGGGTGTTTGACAGGTTCTGTTGGGGTGTCTCATTGGTCCTCATTGTTCTGTGGCAGCCTTCTAGTGTTGAGACATTTGGTGGCTTAAGCCAATTTTGGGTCTGAGCCTGTACAAAAACAACGATTTCGGGCCCAGACTGAAACTTGGGAGAAACCACTCTGCGCAGCAATCAGCTAAGAACAAACTCCTTAATGGCCGGAGACAACCATTACTGAAGGCAGCACCCACCAACGCCGCCAGGGCACTTCTTTACTGAGATAAGCCCGACCATTTCGTCAAGCTCTGCAAAGATCTCCCTGAGAGTCTGGTTCTCGATCTCCTTAATCCGTTTTTCTCATCTCGGTGAATGGTGCAGAAAACAAGACTTGCTAAGTGCCCCCAATCTTCCAAAAGATCCTACGAAACGGGGTGTCATCGCGCAACCACGCTTAGAATTGGCAAGATTGCGATGTGGCTTCTGCCTTTCCGAGCATGTGCGAACAAAAAAACTGCGCTTGCTTGATGCGCACTTGCTTTTCCTTACTGACCTTGAGTAAGAATCTCCTACAATGGCAAGACCTCGGGGATAACAGCTTCCCCGCAGCACGCGTGCTTTCAGCCGGCATGAATTCCATGACAATTTTCATTGTTGGGCACGACGTGCTTGATGCTCAGGGATACACCGGCTGTCGCTGAAATGAATGCAGGAGCCTGATTGAAGATGGTGGTTGAAGTCGGTCTTGGTTGTTCTTGTTATTGTTGCTGCTGCTGTTGTCATTGTCGTCTCATTGTCGTCGTTCTTCGTCGTGGTCGTGGTTGTGCCGTTGCCGCCATCCTCGTGGTAGTTGTTGCTGTTGTTGCTGCTGCTGCTGCTGCTGCGGCGGTCGCTACGGCTGCCCCGCCCGGCCCGCAGCGGAAGCAGTAGCAGCAGCAGTACCCGAGCACGAAACACGGAGAGGCAGATTTATGTTGCTCCAAGACTGAACCCTGCTGTAATTTCTCTAGACCAGCAGCATGCGGGGCCTGAAAGCACTCCTAACTTTCAAGAACAATTCCATCATTCTTCCAGATGCCATACATTGTTCAACGGCCTCTATCGCGGACAGCGATGCCTATGCCTTGTGGGAGTAGGCTGACTGGCAAGGGGCCACGTCAGCAGCACTCGACGCCAGGCTGTTGTTGACATTGATGCCTTCAAGGAAGTCACGCGTGTGATCGCAGCTGCTCCTGCAGTAGCAGGCGTCCCTGATAGCCACAAGGGTGGTTTTGATTTTGGTAGGATTTCCACACGCGGGAGGCTCCTCTATTTGGGGTGTCTTCGTTTGAGCATTTCTTGGGTTGTACTGCTCGGCATCGCTAAAGCTTTAGTTAGAGGGTTCTGAAATTGCGATGTTTGACATGACGGTTCTCTTGAAAGCACTTATACGTCCCCATCATTGAAACAGCGATTGCCTTAAGACGTGACGTACCAAGTCAACGCGCAATCAGAACTATGGGAAGCAAGACCACTCTTCGGAAGCTCTTGCTGTACCGCGCATGACAACTATCACTGCCAGCCCTTAAGCAGGTCCATTTCTCCCCGAAGTATTCCCTATACCCATATCCCCACATGGCTTGTTCAGCTGCCAGCGGATAAACTCTAAGACATCTGGTAAATGCATTCGGGTCTTCCTGGGCTTGGATGCTTTCGACGTAGGATAACGATTGGGTGTAATGCACGCCTGCAGCGCTGAGACCGTCCATGCTTTGTCATTTATCCACAAATGAATGCAGGTGGGACCAAAGCTTCTCGACCCACCTTCGTGCAAGTGGAGCTCGATCAAATATTCTCGCTGCCTCGTTCTGTCCGCCCCTGGAATTGCAGCCGGGACGATTGGGAGCCCGTTGTTCGGCTGCCCTCTACTGACGAAATCCAGAGAATCATCAGAAGGTTGTTGTGGCTCTGCTATGGCCGCGGTTGCCAAGCGTATGTAACGACGTAATCCATCCATGACAAAGCAAGAGAACTCGAAGTGGCCTATGCTCCAGAAAACTAAACCTACGTCTTCCCAGCCATGATATCTGACAACGCAGCAACCGCCTTGTGCAAAAAACACCAACGTAATTATAACCACCCCCCACAACCTTCAGAACCGAAGTTATCCTGACGCAGAACTGAAAAGGATCGCTCGCAATTCAAACTATATGCTCGACCCTCACGAACGTAATCACCCCCCCTCCCAACCTTCCCGACTTGGAGCTGAATGTGAGCGTTCACAATTGTAAGTATAGGCTCGACCCTCATGTGCAAAAGTCGGCATTACACGGGGTCGAAAGGATCATTCTAATCATGAACACCATCATCATTGCCACCGCCTTGGTTATCATCATAATGACGAAAATAATCAACACAGGCATTGTTGCGGCGTTGCCATCGTCTGAGTGCCAATGCTCTTTGACGAGCTACAGCTTCAGTGGGAATTCTCGGCAGGAAACTCACAAAAGCTCACAAACCCTCAGTCCCCACTTACCTTTCCTGGGCGTATAGATTGGCAAATGCAGCAATCCAAACTCTCATGAAACCTTTTGCTGAAACTCCGAACAGCTTCGATCCAGTTGTAGAAGATCTGCCTTTTGGAGATCAATGAAGCTCCAACCCAAACTCATGAGCACAAACGTTGACTCCAAAAAGGGACAATTTTCAACCTTGAAGGCACATCCCCTATACCAAATTGAATCCAATTTAAGGTTTAAGGAACCCCGAAGCTCAATCTTCGACGCCTGTCGCCTCAAACCCTGGACTTCAACTCTGAAGTTGCAAGCTCAAGCCCGTAATGCAGAAGCATGCGCAGTTAACAAAAGGCTTCTGAGCTTTTTGTGACCTCTACATACTTCCAACATCAAACTCGCCTAGAATCTCAGTTTCCATGTCACATCCCATATTCTTTTGCATTAGAGTTCTCCATTCAATGGTAGGTTTCTGCCCTAAACCCGCCCAAACCCTGTACCCCATACCCGCTTAAAGCAACTCCAGTCCTGGCCAGTGCCAGAGTTTCTTCAAAGTCAGATGCTGCCAGAATTCGGGCTCCTGTTTTGGGATAGACCATAAAAACACACATTGCGGATTTCTTGGGGCCCTAGGGATCCTGGAGGTGAACAAGGATGATAGGAGGTTTATTGCCACCAGGACTTGTGAGGATGTCGCCACGTCACGGCCAGAACTCACTGGGGCCAACAGCAAACCATGCTGTAGTTAAAGGGACTAAAATGGGAACCCCAAGATCCTAGTGACTAGGATATTCCTACTATATTCTTGGGGTTCCCTATTTGGGGTTCCCATCACAATACCTTTAGCGGTGTGGCCCTGACACCAAGGCAAAGACTTGGAAAGTCTGAAAGATAGTGCCTGTAAGACATAATGGTGATGACATTAGCGTCCGCGTCTATTCCCATGATACCAGTATTGCCGGGTGGAGGGTCCACCTAAGGTATTCCACATCAGGGTGGGGAGTGTTGACTTATGGAGGGGCAAGGGATGGCCGCTATCATGACACATGCCCGCACCAGGAGTTCGACGCTAACATCACCTTCAAATTCTACAAGGCCCTGCTTTGGAAGTTTAGAGGTTTGCAAGCCTTAGATGGGTTGTCGGGCTTGCTGTTAGCCGTAACTTTGAGTGGACTTCATCTTCACTGCGAAGTGTTTAGGGCTTAGGTGCGGGCTTTCAAAAGGTGCGCAGCACCCCCATATGAACGTCTATCCTCAAACTATGTACCCTGAAACGTGTCTGAGATGTCGCCATCTTTCTGCCATTCACAACACACAATGCACAATACACTATCACTTCTTGCAAGGAAAGGACAAGCATGGACGTGACACTTGCAGTTATTGCATACTCAAGGTGAGGGCAATTTGCGTAAAGCAGTCGAGGTCCCAGTGTATAAGCCCATCACTAGAAATCTGATCTACAATATACTCAGAACAGCAACAACGGAGTCTGCTTGTTTCAGAAGCTCTCCTGTGGTCAAGGATTCCAGGTCCTTGAGAGTCTTGCCCGCAACCTGTTGAGCAATAATTTTCTTCAGTGCGAACACAGTCTCTTTGCCTTCTTCATAGACATGGCATTGTCCTCCACTTCAACATCCAACTTTTCTTATCAAAGCTGTCCACCCAGTGGGATCGCCGGGTATGAGGTTTTAGGGTTCCGGGGGCGCAAGTTCAGGAGGTTGAGGACAGTCGTAAGTACATGATTTGGGGCTCAGGTTTTTAGCATGCAGGTTCAGATGCGCAAGATGTGCCCCAAGATCTTGACACATCCCTCCTACACCCTGTCGGTTTCTTGAGGCCCGATGCAACAACCCTAGAGTCTGTCAAAGAGCTGTAGTTGTCATGAGATCCCTCGTCAAGGCGGACTTCATGTTTGTGTAGTGGCAGCGGCGGTGGTGCTTAATGGTGCTGCAGTGATGGTGGTGGTTGTCGTTGCTGTTGTTGCTGCTGCCGCTGCCGCATAGCCCGAGTGGCGTTTGTATACGCGTTTTTCAAATCCATTGGGTCTCCACAGCCGATGGATTGTAAGGGCAAAGCCCTATTTGCCGTAACCATGAACTTACTGAACAAGGGACTTACCAAGGAGCAACGTAGATGACTTCTTAGACCCTCAGGCGAGAAAGATCTGAGAATTCATTCCCCTAAGGACGGCGGGGGTTTACGAATGAATTCCAAAGTGGATGCTAGCAGAAGCCCTGAGTCATACTTCCCCGCAGTGACACCACAACCCTGAACAGGGACTTGTTATTAAGGACCTCAAGAGAGACGCAGCCAGAACCCCAAGCAGTGAACCTACTCCAACATTTGCAAATCAACTGTTCCATGTATGGGGCCAAAACCTTGAGGGATATGGGAAACTTCTTTAAAACCTAGGAGCCCTGACGGTGCAAATGTTCGTGCAGCATTAGGGTGCTTCTATGAAGGAGCCGCAGCAAAGACCTGTGATTTTTGCAAATATCCATGTTCCTCTGAGCTAACAAAAATGACAAGTACATCTTTTACTTGAGAGATTGGCCTAAGTTCACGAACGCTTTGTCAGCTAAGTTGAGTAGTTTTTCAACTATGGTTTTGTGATACCTACACATTTTGACCTAACAAAATTACCTGGTGTGAAGCTTCCCGAAATGCCTGACCTCCCAGTGCCCACGTTCTCACAATCCCCCTAAAAAACAGCACACCGCATTTCCTTGCCTTGCAGGTGCTCCGCAAATCCTCCTTGATGACTTCCCCCCCTACAGCTGCCACATCGATGGGCGTAAGCTCCGTCACGAGCCTGGGATTGGGAGCGGTCAGGGTTTGCTGCTATATATGTTGGGTGTATGGCCTAGTGTTTGCAGGCCGTCGGTTCAGAACTGGGGCTTTAAGCGCAAGAGCATGCTGTGAACCACAAATGTCAAGGTGTGCATGATGGGGATCACCAGAACAAGCCAGGGAAGGCATAGAGTACATGTATAATGTATAAGCGAGACCTTTGTTTAAGCGCAAGGATTTCAGAAACCGCGGCTCCTTTTCCTAGCAAGTCACTGTCCACAAGAACTGTGGACTGCTATACTGAAAGGTACCCTGGACTTTGTCTCAAGGATTGGAGGGTCCCTTAATCTCAAGACGGGCAGAGATCTCCGAACGTTAAGTGATGGGACGCAAGGCTGCAAACTTCTTGAGCGTGAGAAGCCCACGAGCCTAAAGCACACGGGCCACAACAGGGCAGATTGAACAAACTGCACCTTTCTCAAATTCTGTGATCATCAGGAATTAGCTCCAATTTTCCTTGACTTTCCTCTAGGAGCCCTCCTGTTCCTGTTCGCGATGTTCTGGGTTATGATATGCGAAATCGTCAGCCTACTCCTATCTCGCACTGAAGAAATTTCACCGCTCCCTTTGGAACTTCAAGAAAGTTGAGGGCAGAACCTTAAACATGTGAGGGTTGGCGATCAAGAGCTTGATGCTGACTCAATCGGTTTGAATGCATACTGGAAGCTTAGGAAGTTAAAAAGCATCGAATCCAAAATGCAAGTGCTTCACATGGCAGAAATCATGGCGGCCCTAGCCGAGAACCCCATAAGCTCACATCTGAGCTGTCAAAAAACCTGCCACTGCTACTAAAGGATCCTGATGTGTGTGCGAACCATGTAGTTCCTCAGGGAGCCAAGCAGTCACACAGTACAGCTCTGTCACTGTAAGCACACAAGCAGGACAATTACGCATAGAGAGAGAGAGCGCAGACACAGAGACAGAGAGAGAGAGAGAGGGAGAGAGAGAGAGAGGGAGAAAGCAGGGAGGTCTGGACATCCCATTTCCCGACCATGTCTCAGACACTTCCGAAAATTTTTGGATAGGAGAACAGTACCAGCTGTACCAGTTCAAGCTCAGAACAATAGAGTCAGGGAAAACGACCAGTAGAGAATTCGCTACAATAGAGAGAGTCAGGGGACTCAATAATCTTGGCGGCCACAAGCTGTACAGGAAGCGGGGGCCGACCAATACGATGGAATACTATCTACTGATGCTGTCCTACCTGTTCCTACTACGGTTACTACTACTGCGCTGCTGCTGCTGCTACTACTACTACTACTACTACTAGTACTGGGACTACTATCGTCATCTGCACAGTTAAACAAATCAAGGATCTCGCCATCATAGTGACGTTGTCTTCCAAGGAACTTAGTGCGATTCTCCGCTCCCTTCTGCGTGGATACGGCCCGAACTGCCATGGCCCTCAGGGAGGACTCCAGGATATTCCGCACCTTCCGTGACGCAGGTATAGTCCCCCTTAAGTAGATAGAATATGGCTTTGGGATATTACTATAAGATCCCCATATACCTCATATTTTATCTACTTAACGGGGACTATACTCCTCAAAAATAACATCCTCTCGTATAAACCACGCAAAACGGTCTTTAATGCAGGAGGGCCACCAACACTTGAGCTACAGTTAGCATTGCTGTCGTAGATTAAGTGCTTGAGAAGGGATGCATGCTATGGGCTTTACTATGAAGCCTTACACTCGGGAATGTGGGATTAAAGGGTTCGGGGGGCTCTGAAACCTCGGAGCTTCAAATTTTGAATGTAATCAAACTGCAGCCCAGTCTAGGTACCCTAAGAAAAGGCATAACAAGCACGGGGCAGGGCACAAGTCGTATCGGCACAAGGTTTACCGCCATAAAAGAACATATGTTTAGCAGCTTAATAAGGGCTGCTACAACTTCAACAGAACTACCTGAGAACATTGCAGTGCTAAAGAACCACGCCTGCTTGCATGATGATCAGAATTCTTGACAGGGGAGTCCACCTTCTTGAAAATTCCTGGGGTCCTGGTGTCTCATTAAACAAAATGTCGGACCAAGTACTTGCAATGCTACATCACAGCCACTTTGGCCCACAGCAAGCGTATAATTGCGACCCGGCCCGGACCTTGGGGCCTAAAAGCCCCGTCCCTTTACTAACAACCCCCGGGATACCCCTCATAATCACCCCCCTCACTGGTAGCATTGTCTTTTAGGGGGAATATTTCTTGTTGGGGGTGTGTAGGCTTATTATGACTGATTCGCCGAAGAACCGTTCGACCGTTACCGTTGTCCCGGCCGGCCGCTGCGCATGTACCCTTGTCCAGTGCCTCCTGCAAGGGTTAGGCGAGCTGGTAGGCTTCAGGGTCAAAGGTTAGGGACCCAGGTCTTGTCTGGGGCAGTACGGCGCTGCTGCCCTTGCTGCCCAACATGGCACAACTTCTCAACGTACTTCAAAACAACCGTTGGCTGGAACACTTCCTGAAGGGTGTTGTTTTGGGAAAGAGGTAAAGAGATTGGATTTCAAACGTGATCTGGTACGCCTACCTACTGCAATGGGAGGCCAAAACGCAATACAACTATATTGGCATCGCTAAAGAATCCCAAGCAAAGTCCATATTGTTCATGTTTTTCTTCTGCATACAGGCCCTGTATGATCCTGGTAGCCTGACTCCTTTATGCTCCTGGACAAGTGAAACCTTAAACTCAACCCTCAACTTGGGAACTGCCCCCACCCGTAACTGTCAATAATAGGGGTAAGACTAAGGCCAACAGGTAATATATCATCCAACTGTTACTGAGCGGGGGCAGTATCCAACCTTAAACCCGACCCACAACTTTGAACCCTAAAACGCGCCTGTGTGCAGCAACCTGTCTTTGTCGAGATAATCTTTTTTATCCAGTCGTGAGATGCATTGCAGGCCACAACGTCCTGAAGCGGCGTCGCTTAGAGTTTTGAGGTTTGGGGTCATGTGTGTATAGATTCAAGCTGCAAGGAACTAAACCTCAACCATGTGAGGCATCTGAACAACATGAGTCTGGTAAAGGTTGGCACTGAGGCAAGTATCTGATGGAGAAGCCCCATGCCTTGATGATGCTGAGTCTTGTTGCAAGCTTGGATCGCATAGATCTTCTGTGGGCTTTGCAGAGGATACTAGCATCGCAAGATAAGAACACAGACCTCAACACTTTTCTGAAATTGGAACCAAAGCGCCTTGGGTCTCGGCACGCGCATCCAGAGGGCTTGAGGTCTAGGGTTTCTGCCGTGGACCTGTAGCAGACCCTCAGTATTCTTAGAGTTTTTGGATACCCTTCAAACACCTTGAATAAATGCCGAAGTCAACGTTATGAGTATACCGAAGGAACCAAGTTAGGGTCACATAAATCTGAAACCTTAACGCGCCGAAACCCAAGCTCCCACTGAGTTGGCTCAACATTGTTTTGCCATCATGACCCTTCAGGCAAGGGTGTTTCTGCATAGCTGCCCAGAAACCCTCATCTCAAAACCCTGCAATAAAACCCAAAGCCCCACACGTCCTGCTTTCTCAAGCCATATCTTGCGATTTCCCCGGGTTCCTCGCAGCTGTAGTCGGGAAACCTGCACAGCAGATTTCGCGTAACGAAACGGTCTGAGCATGAGACAAAAATTTTAGTAGTAGTAATCATACTAATGATCGTAATAAGAATGACAATTGTAGAAATGATGATACTCAACATAAACAAGGACAAAGAAGCAAAGCAGAGCTGCAGCTGTTGCTCACACTCGTCGGCACAGTTGTCTTGGTGCTGGGAAAAGCGGTGCTCGCAGTGTTGCCGGTGGGCGTTTCCTGGCGGTTTGGGTGGGGGTAGGGGCGGTGGCGATGGAGGAGAGGCAGTGGTGATGGGGCCGGGGTGGTGACGATGGGTTGGCGTGCACCTCGAAGCAGCCAATAAACAGGGCCAGGAGCGGCCCAAAGAAGAGCCGTGTATGGAGGGTTGGCAGGTTTGAAGCATGCAGGTGTGTGGGGTAGGTGGTAGAAGATCAGTACTGCAAGACCATAAGCGCTGTTAATGAGTTGTAAACCAGAGACCCTGCACCATCTGAAAGTGCGAGTAGCTCGAATCGAAAGGGAACTCGAGACTGGAACCCGGGATTCGACTCGAAGAACGTGTCCATCTCCTGCATAAGCTGCTTCTTTACAGCTTCGCTGCTCTGAAGCTGTCATTGGGAGTTGCTAACAATTCAAGTCCCCTCCACAAGAACACCAAAACATGGGAGTCCCACTATCAAAGCTTTTTTCTCGAGTGTTGACCCGGAATCTCGAAAACCCTGCTCTGTAAAATCATAACAGCTGAGAAAATGGCGGGAAATTCGCGGGAGAGTCCATATGTTCTGGGTCCTGGTTCTGGATCAGCCTTACGATTTTGGATTTAGGTTTTCTATAGAGACTTAGGGCTTGGGATCCTACCGAGGGCGCCATATCAGGCGCTTTTCAAGAAGACGGCCCTTCAAAAGAATTCGCACTGGATCAAACATCGTCCAGGGGGGCATGCTCTCTAGACAAACATCCCGTGTTATTTCATCTGGCCCAGCCGAATCGAAATCCCTGGTCTCCAGCTGAATGGAGCCTTTCTCAGGTCCCATATTACCTGCCGTCGCTGCTAGGTAGGGACTGCAGGTGTCTACACAGGCCCAGAAAGAAGGTTCATGCGCTTTGACTCCAGATCCATTGTTGCTGAATCTTACACCCACAACTTTGAGGCATCAGGCGCCTCTGAAGCCAATTTAAAATTCGGTTATGATAGCAACGCCAAAAACACACTGAAGCGCCAGCATTTTGCCAGCAACTTCGGAATCCACCGAAGGACAATTTCACAGCTTCACACTGGATGGAACCTGCTTCATGGACGTTTAAGCCTGATGGGGAGGTGTAGTTCCTAGACTGATGATGACCCTAGACTAGCTTTCAGCCAAGGTCTTGGAAATCGCCAGCCGCAAACAACCCACGCTCCTGTCGGTAGCCGGCGAAGATGACGATGAGCTTGTCCCTGTGGTCTTCCATTTCCTTGATCCTGAGCAAACTGGGTTGCTGTTAAGGAACTTAGTTAAGTTACCATAATGGGTACATGTCGTAGTTAATAGGGTTTTCTCAATATAGTAACTTAAGCTAGAGTCTTTGACAGCAGCCCAATAAAGAACTGACCCCTACTAATCTATGTCTTTGTGCCTGCTCTGTTCCTCGGGGCCGAGAAGGTCGAGAACACTTTCTGTAATACAGGGCCAATAATAATAGTAATAATAACCTGAAGAAAATTACGTTTTTTTTTCCAGCTTCTCCACGCCTTGGGTGATGCAGGCCAACTGTGTTGGGCAATGAGGCTTTCCCTGCTGTAGCAGACGCTTGTCTCCGGAAATTCTCTTTATGGTTACTGTAATGGGTTAAGGTGTTTTTGTATAGGGTCGTCGAGGAGTCGATCAGAAAGCCTGCATGGTCACTACAAGCATCAAACATTTATTGGCCTCGAAGAAGGGCTGCCCCCCGAAAGCAACATGTTCGGACGAAGCCTTGAGGGGAATGCTCTGGCAAACGAGCCAGGAAGTCTCAAGCAGGGAAAGGGATCTTCTGTAGTCCCCCTAGATCTGTAATCAACATATCTATTTCAATAGGTCCTTAAGGTTCTACTGTATTCAACGCGAAGAAATTCCGTAGAAAATTGAAGTCTTTTTCTAGGTTGGAACGTACCGATTACCAGCGTGAGTGTGGCCCCTGACTTACAATATCCCGGCTAGCTCTATGCATGTGTTATACATCTTGAACAATGCCTGAATCTACAGGGCACGCGGTTGTACGAAACTGCCTCCCACCTTTCTTCCGTAAAGAATCCACATCTGTAATGCTATGAGTGAGGTGGGGCTCTAGGCCAGCTAAAGCCCAGGTTCAATGTATCTACCGCCTCCTTGCCAAACACATCCCGGTCGTTCTGCACGAGCGAGTAAGCCTGGCACGGAACGGGTCGCTCAAACCCATGGCGTGCAATTGCATTATCCGGAGACATCCAGAACGAACATACCTCAGTTTCTATTCACTCCTAGATATGCGAAGCATTCAACTGCTAGGTTCCCTGGTCTCGAACAATGTTTGTGAGCTTGGATCAATTCTGTTTGCAGCAGAAATTATTGCAAGCTGTGCCACTGTAACTTAGAAAGAGCCGTGTTTCACTTGACAAAGAATGCACCTCAAGTCATACAATGAAACGCTTCATTTGGGAAAACAAGTCCCAACGGATTGGTAGAATCAGCTCTGCGGATGTTGATCAATAAACCAAAGCCTAAAAACCCTACACAACCCCTATGATCCAGTGTCCCCATATTTCCCCAATTGAAGGTATGGATACTAAAGCCAAGCTAAAGGACACCTATTGGGGTTATATGGGTATAATGAAAAACTGGAAACTGTCATAATGTAGGGGTTATATCGGGATTATTTAGAGAAAATGAAAAATGAAATGAAGGCTGTTAGAACATGGGGTTATCTAAGGGTTATTTTGGGATTACATAAAGACAATAGGTGCACGGACCATATTTTGCCGTGGTGTTTTTTTGCAGCGAAGTGTGCGTCTTACCGAGTTTTGCTAGGATTTCAGAAGCAGGAATCTTAAAAACGCAGAAAAAATTACTCGGTTGTATTCATTTTATAAGGTATGGATGTAGATTTTCCTTGCTAACTTGCTTCTGCATAACCCCCGGCCCCAAGTTTAAATCCCTGAAGCCCTGACACCCCCATAACTCGAGTGTGCGGCTCTTGGAACACAAATTTCATTTTGGTTTAGGCATGGATGCCCTGGTCAACGCATGCTCTTGGAAAGCAAGCGATATTTTTGGTTTGGGCATGGATGCTCTGGGGATCTTATGCTCTTGGAACACGAACGGTGTTATGGTTTGGGCATGGATGCTCTGGTCAACGTATGCTCTTGGAACACGAACGATATTATGATTTGGGCCTGGGTGCTCTGGTCAAATTATGCTCCTGGAACACAAACGGTCTTATGGTTTGGGCATGGATGCTCTGGTCAATGTATGCTCTTGGAACACGAACGATATTCTGGCTTGGGCCTGGATGCTCTGGTCGACGTAGCTCTTTGAACACGAACAGAATTATGGTTTGGGCATGGACGCTCTGGTCAACATATGCTCTGGAAATGGTATGCTCTCGAACATGGATGTTATTATGGTTTGGGCATGAATGCTGTGGTCACTCTATGCTCTCGAACAATTTATGATGGTTTGGGCACCCTGTTCACTGAGTTAAGAGTCTCACCTATGCTATGTAGTCGAAGCACGGGACATATCACTAGAACCTCAAAGAAAGAACATTTGCATGAAGCACCGTAGCAAAAGATGGCCCGTGATCCAACTACTTGCCCGTCACATCGTCAATCAAAAAAGGCCCTTGCACAAAGCCCCAACAGTCCCTACTAGCTACGCCTGGTAGCACTCCACTAGAACTGGTAAAAAAGAAGTCATGATGCAACCGGACATGCGCAACCGCGCCCCCCTCCAACCTGCCCACTTTGGGACAGGTGGAGGGATGAAGCAAGGAGGGATGGCATGCACCAATTCTTGAAATCTAATTACGCAAAAAAACATGCATGAATCCTTGAATTAAAAATCAGTGAGGTGGACTGTTGTGCAAATACACAAAAGGTAACGTAGTAATACAGGACATGCGCGAATACGCCCCCCTCCAACCTGCCCACTTTGGAGCAGGTGGAGGGATGGCACCAGGAGGGACAGCATGCACGAATTCTTGAATTCTCATGATGCCCAAAAAACATGCATGAATTTCTCTGATAAAGCTGGAAAATTTGAAAATTGAACCGGAAATGGACCGGAAATGAACCAGAAATGGACAAATGAAAGGGGAAATGGGTCGGCTGATGTGGAAATGGACCGGACGTGGAAGCGGAAATGAGCCGGAAATGGAAGCGGAAATGAGCCGAAAATGAAAGTGGAAATGAGCCGGAAATGAAAGCGGAAACAAATTAACCGGAAATGGATTGGAAATGTACCGGAAATGAAGCCGGAAATGGAAGCGGAAATGAAAGCGGAGATGGACCGGAGACGAACTGGAAATGGAAGCGGGACCGGAAATGGAAGCGGAAATGAGCCGGAAATGAAAGCGGAAATGGAAGCGGAAATGACCCGGAAATGAAAGTGGAAATGGAAGCGGAAATGGACCAGCAGAAGCGGGCCGGAAATGGAAGCGGCAATGAAGCGGAAATGGTCCGGAAATGAAAGCGGAACTGAACCGGAAATGGAAGCGGAAATGAAAGCAGAGATGGAAGTGGAAATGGAACCGGAAA